ATTTTGGGCAAGTATACACATCCATCTGGAGTGTTTTTCAAGCTGCTGGGTCTAGGTCTCAAATTGCACATTTGGCCATGCGGGATCTAGCTGCCTTAACCATCACATCACAGGCTGGCCCTATTTGGCCAAAGTTTTCGCCAACTTTTTTGTGTATTTTGTTCAAAATTAGTCATGCTATTGAGTAGAAAGTGGTATCTCATTGTGGTTGTGATTTCCATTTTTCTGACATTGAACATCTTTTCATGTGCTTATTGGCCATTTCTATATATATATATATATATATATATATTTTTTTTTTTTTTTGCAGAAATGTCCAGTTTAAATGCTTTGTTGAGTTTTAAACTCGCTTTGCTTTTTATTGTGAGCCACAGACTACAGAAGTTCTTTGCAACCTCATAGGGAGATCCTAACTCGAAAGTAAGAGCCAACAGAAGCCAAGATGGAGTCATGTAGTTGGTGTCATATAATAACTTGAATATATTCTGAAAAATACTGAAAAACGATGGGGCCAGCAGGTGGTATGATGGTTAAGGGCGCTGGACTCCCACATAGCTGACCACGATTTGATTCCCAGACCTGGCAGCTTGCTTTCTCTCTGTCTCTCTCTCCTCCTCTCTCTCTCTCTCTGTCTGTCTGTCCTTCTCTGGTCAAATTAAAATAAATAAATAAAAAAATAAATAAATAAAGTTAAATAAAATAATTCTAAAAAAAATACTGAAAAACAACAAAAAAATCTCAGTACTGCATAAACCCGAGTGTACTTAGACAAACCTACACAGCCAACACACCCAGGCTATATGGAACAGCCTATTGCTCCTAGGTTTCAAACCTGTAAGGCATGTTACTGAACATTATAGGTTACTGTAACGCTTGGTATTCGTGTATCTTAATGTATCTAAAGATAGAAAAAGTGCAGTGGAAACATAAAAGATGAGTGGTACAGCTGGGTAGGTCACTTAACAGGAATGGAGCTTGCAGGGCTGGAAGCGGTGCCAGGTTGGTGAGTGAGTGGTGAGTGAATATGAAGGCCTAGAACGTTACCATACACTACTATTGATTTTATAAACACTTAGGCTACACTAAATTTACCAAAAATAGTTTTCTGTGTTCCATATTAACCTTAGCTTAGTGTAATTTTTTTACTTTATAAGTGTAAGCCTTTTTAGTCTTTAGTAATAACAAGTAGCTTAAAACACAAACATGTTCAGCTGTATGAAAATATTTTTCTTTATATTTTTAATCTGTACGCTTTTTCATTTTTTAAAACTTTTTTGTTATTAAAAACTAAGAGACAGGCTAGCAGGTGGCATGGTGGTTAAGACGCTGGACTCCCATATGGCTAACTGTAGTTCAAGTCCTGGACCTGGCAGTTTGCTTTCTCACTTTCCCTCTCTGTCTCTCTCTGGTAAGCACATATGTCCTATAGCAAAATTTAAAAATAATGAAAATATTAAATGAAACAAATTTTTTTTTTTTTGAGAGGTTTTTGCTATAGGGTGCGTGCGCTCGCCAGAAAGACAGAGAGACCAGAAAGCGAGAAATTGCCCTCCAGGGGGGATGGCCATACTGCAATCCCTTCTCCTCCATTCTCCTCTTGGGATCTTGGGCACGCACACAAGCGCGCCTGGCGTGAGTTTAAGCCACCAGGTCCAGGACTTGATCTGTGGTTGACTACATGGGAGTCCAGCGACATAGCCATTCCACCATCTGCTGGGCCCTAAATAAAACAATTTTCTAAAATTAAAACAAAAGAGCAAGACACAAACACACTCATTAGCCTAAGCCTATACATGGTCTGGATCATCATTATTTTCCAGACTTCTACATCTTACTACATTGTAAGAGACATGATAAACAAACAAAAAAAACCATGGAATTAAATTAAGTACGAGAGAAAATTATGCAGGAGCAGCAGGTGGTGTGGTGGTTAAAGTGGCTGGACCCACATAGGCAGTTCAAGTCCTAGATGTGGTAGCTTAAAAAACACGTCAGGTGCATGTGTGCGTATACCCCAAATCCTGAGAGAATGAAGAAGGGATTGCAGTGTCACCATCCTCCTGGGGTGGGAGGGGTGCGCAGTGCCCTACAACAAAATTTTTTAAAAAAAGAGACTCAATCAAGAGCCAGCGTAAATGTAAGATGTAGAAGGCTGCTTCTAGTATAACATGGCCTACGATTCGGTCATTGGAAAAGTCATGACACGTTTTTGCATAGAAAAATATGTTGTGGGGACCAGCAATTGGCTTAATGGCTATGTCGCTGGACTCTCATGTAGTTGACTGTGGTTTGAGTCCCGGACCCGGTGGCTTAAACTCACGCCAGGCACATGTGCGTGCGTGCCCAAGGTCCTGAGAATGGAAAAGGGATTGCGGCATGGCCATCCCCCTGGGGGGTGATTTCTCACTTTCTGTCTCTCTGTCTCTCTGGCAAGTGCATGCGCCCCATAGTAAAAACCTCTCAAAAAAAAAAAAAAACAAAGAAAAATACATTGTGACTTTTCCAACGATCTAATATTTAACACTAAACTATTTTTCTTAAATAAGTAGAAAGTATACATAGATGACGAAAAATATAGTATGTTCTCACCACAAAAAAAGAGATAAGTATGTGTGGTAATGAATGTTTTTAGTTCAATTAAACCATTCCACAATGTACACATATCTCAAAACATCATGATGTGCATGACAAAGATAGAATCATTATCTGTCATTTATAAAGTAATAATGAAAATCATTTATGTGTCAGGGACTATGCTGACCTTTTTATTTTAAAATTATAAATTGTCAAGTAGTAACTGTATATGTTTATGAAACATGATGATATTTATTTATTTATTTATTTTTGAGAGGTTTTCGCTATAGGGCGCGTGCGCTCACCAGACAGAGAGAGACATAGAGACAGAAAGCGAGAAATCACCTCCCCGGGGGGATGGTCATGCCGCAATCCCTTCTCCTCCATTCTCCTCTCGGGATCTTGGGCACACACGCACACGCGCCTGGCGTGAGTTTTAAGCCACTGGGTCCGGGATGCAAACCGCAGTCAACTACGTGGGAGTCCAGCGACATAGCCATTATGCTAACTGCTGGTTCCCAAACATGATGATATTTTGATACATGTATACAATGTATAATGAACAAATCAGGGTAATTATCATTTCTATCATCCCACTATCATTTTTTTGTTGGAAACATTCAAAATCCTCTCTTTTATAAAATATAAATTGTTATTAAACAGAAAGAAAACCCTTAAACCAGTAACACTTACTGTGTATTACAGACTGTACATAATTATATTGCTATACTTTTTTATTTTAAAGAATTATTTTATTGAACTTTATTTGACCAGGGGACAGAGTAAGAAGAGTGAGAGTGAGAGAGAGAGAGAGTGAGAGAGAGAGAATAAGTGAGAAAGCAAGCCGCCAGGTCCAGGACTCAAAATGCGGTTGGTCAGGTGGGAGTCCAGCGCTCCCAACCACCACGCCACCTGCCAGCCCATGAGTTATACTTTAAATGGCAGTGAAGCAGGTTTTTATTTTTTTGAAGAATTATTTTATTCATCCATTCATTTGTTTTAATTTGACCAGAGAGAGAGACACAGAGAGAGAGAGAGAGAGAGGGAAAGTGAGAAAGCAAGCCACCAAGTCTGGGACACGAGCCATGATTGGCCATGTGGGAGTGTCCAGTGCCTTAACCACCATGCCATCTGCTGGTTTCATGAAGTAGGCTTCTTTACAGTAGCACTAGCACAAACATGTGAGTAATGAAAGTGTTATGCCAGGACATCTATGATGTTGCTAAGATAGGAATTGTAATCTTACGGAGCCACCACAGTATGGATGGTTTCTGACTAAAACATCATCATGTGGAGCTTGATTGTATCTTTTTTTTAAACAATTTTATTATTATTTAGAAAAAAATTGGTATATAGGGCATGTGTGATCGAGAGAGAGAGAGAGCGAGAGAGAGAGCGAGCAAGCAAGCTGCCAGGTCTAGGACTCCAACCGCAGTTGACCATGTAGGAAAACAGCGCCTTAACCACACCTGCTGACCCCACTTGACTATATCTTGAACCCTTACGTGCGTGCATGCAGAGTCTGACTTGCCTACACCAACTTTGGTTTTATAAACCAACACTTTTCTTGCGGGTTAAACTGACAATGTCAGAACTCCTCAAGCACAATGGGCCTTTTCCCTCATTAGTTTTCTGACTTAACCCCAAGCCTATTCTACATTGTGAGGAGTCTTACTCTGATGAGCCTGGTAGGCACTGGGCTGAGAGGTGGAGGAAAAGGTGAATGATGCCTGGCACAATTGTAAGTGCCACCCCCAAGGTGCAGAGGGGCCAGACCAAAATTTTAGACTAGAGACCTTTACACATCCTCCGTAATGCTTATAAATGCCATAACTTAAAAAATACAGCAACAAAGTAAAAAGTAACCAACCCACCGAGGAGGATAGCAACCTATAAATGTTTTAAAGTGCCCAAGTAGCTAGTTATAAAGGCTACAGAGAATATAGAATATGCTTAAGCACGGTAGCCACTTTTTACAAGCTACGTTAACTTTAAGCATTATTGCCCATGTTTTCCAAAATACATTATTATTGTCCCTAGGATGCCAGGATGACTTAGTCAAGATACCTTTAAAATATTACCGAATGTTCAAAGTAGATGAGTCTGAAAGCAGAGGACGTACCACATAAATCTGAGCAGGGGAGGCTAGGAAGGAGAAAGTACCGAGAAATCAGGGATGGTACATAAAGCCATGAACAAGTGAGTCCTGTGTGTCTTCGGAACATGCACGAAGGATTAATATTTTTGTATGAAAATGACACAACGGTAAGTTTGGCAGAACAAAACAAGATTTCTGCTATCAGAGAGCTCTTCTAAGCTACAGTGAGTGCTAATAAGAGATGTGTGGTCACAAAACTTCGGAGGAAACTGCACTGAAGGAGCTCCAGAAATCTTCATGGAGGAAGAAACACATCAAGAGGTGGAAGTGGGATCTGAGAACTACTTTTATTGAGTACTTACTGGACACATCATATACAAAAGAGAAAGCATGGGACAGGTAAGAAGTTAAAGAAATGAAATACACATGTTCGTTTTATCACTAATTCTGACTACTAGAGAAGTACAAAATATATACAAGTTATACTGTATTATGAAATTTTGATACCTGTCAAAGGCTAATAACCTACACTTATACCACAATAAAAAGTTGTTAAAATTGTGCTTAACGTCAAAGAAGTTCCCTAAGATGAGTTGGTCTATTCCACATCTATTCCTACTATACACATAGACGTGTGGTTACAGGGTGCTCGAATAGTACCGATGCTTTTGACCCTTCGCTGAGAAATCCAAAGTCAACACGCACATGTGCAGCTCCTCTGAGAAACAACACAGCATTTGCACCAAGTCCATTTCGTCATTAAAATCACCCTCATTTTCACTTTAGTCTTCAACCAGGTTTTCTTCAGAACTGTTCATATGTCTTTCGTCTGATCATCTTCTTCAAGTTTTCTGATTTCATTTTTTAAACAATTTATAGTTTCGCGACTTGCTTTTAATCTCTCCTTAAGCTCTGCAATTTCAAAGCTTGTTTTTTTCTTGGCAGCTTCTAATTTTTCTCTGGTTTTCACTTCAAGTTCTGCAACTAAGGAAAACAAATACTTCTACCAATTAATGTTTATTTTATCACATTCTAAAATATGTTGTAGAGTAATAAATATGGCACTTTTAATTTTTATTTATTTTTTTTGCTAGAGGGTATGTGCACTCATTAGAGAGGGGGAAAGTGAGACATCATCCCTCAGAGGGGAATGGCTATCATGTAACCCCTTCTCCTCCTGGGATTTCTGGGTACGCATGCACATGCGCCTGGCATGACTTCTGAGCTGCCAGCTCTAGAACCGAATCACAGATGGCCATGTGGGAATCCAGTGCCTTAACCACCACACTATCTGCTGGCCCCAAATATGGCACTTTCTTAGGTCAATGTTTCCATAATGAAATGTGGACAACTTAAGATATACAACATTAAAACATGGGCGGACGGGTAAGAAAGTCTGCATTCCCGAGAGTGGATATAAAATGTTTTTATGACTGAATAAAATTCCAGCCACTAATTCACAGTTAATGTTTAAACACATAATACCCTTGGTTTTCTCCAAATACAAATTGATTTGAAAATAAAGGGACATACAAACTCAAAAGACATCAGTTAGTAAGAAGAGCTAAATAAAAGTATTCTAAAATTGATATACAGGTGAAACTTATATAAATAATACTATCAAAACTCATATTTTTTTTCTAAGAAAGGTAGCAATACTGTCTAAATTTGAATTGTAGCTCTACCCCTAACTAGCTGTGACACTTGAGTAAGTTATTTTACACTAATTTCCTCATTTATAAAATAGATTATTGGCAAACGCCTCATATTATTTGTTGCAAAGATTTTGAAGGGAAAAATATACATAAAATACCTAGAATATTGCCTGGTACATAAGGCCTATCAACTGTTATTATAATAAAAGAGGAATTTTAAGTGATATTTGAAGCATTCTAGCTGGCTACCTAACAAATAACCTAAGAAAATGTCAGGACCAGCGGGTGGTGTAGTGGTTATGTCGCTGGACTCCCACATGGCTAACTGCGGCTCAAGTCCCAGACCTGGAGGCTTTAAACTCTTGCCCTGTGCATTGTGCATGCATGCCTCATTTTCACTTTAGTCTTCAACCAGGTTTTCTTCAGAACTGTTCATATGTCTTTCGTCTGATCATCTTCTTCAAGTTTTCTGATTTCATTTTTTAAACAATTTATAGTTTCGCGACTTGCTTTTAATCTCTCCTTAAGCTCTGCAATTTCAAAGCTTGTTTTTTTCTTGGCAGCTTCTAATTTTTCTCTGGTTTTCACTTCAAGTTCTGCAACTAAGGAAAACAAATACTTCTACCAATTAATGTTTATTTTATCACATTCTAAAATATGTTGTAGAGTAATAAATATGGCACTTTTAATTTTTATTTATTTTTTTTGCTAGAGGGTATGTGCACTCATTAGAGAGGGGGAAAGTGAGACATCATCCCTCAGAGGGGAATGGCTATCATGTAACCCCTTCTCCTCCTGGGATTTCTGGGTACGCATGCACATGCGCCTGGCATGACTTCTGAGCTGCCAGCTCTAGAACCGAATCACAGATGGCCATGTGGGAATCCAGTGCCTTAACCACCACACTATCTGCTGGCCCCAAATATGGCACTTTCTTAGGTCAATGTTTCCATAATGAAATGTGGACAACTTAAGATATACAACATTAAAACATGGGCGGACGGGTAAGAAAGTCTGCATTCCCGAGAGTGGATATAAAATGTTTTTATGACTGAATAAAATTCCAGCCACTAATTCACAGTTAATGTTTAAACACATAATACCCTTGGTTTTCTCCAAATACAAATTGATTTGAAAATAAAGGGACATACAAACTCAAAAGACATCAGTTAGTAAGAAGAGCTAAATAAAAGTATTCTAAAATTGATATACAGGTGAAACTTATATAAATAATACTATCAAAACTCATATTTTTTTTCTAAGAAAGGTAGCAATACTGTCTAAATTTGAATTGTAGCTCTACCCCTAACTAGCTGTGACACTTGAGTAAGTTATTTTACACTAATTTCCTCATTTATAAAATAGATTATTGGCAAACGCCTCATATTATTTGTTGCAAAGATTTTGAAGGGAAAAATATACATAAAATACCTAGAATATTGCCTGGTACATAAGGCCTATCAACTGTTATTATAATAAAAGAGGAATTTTAAGTGATATTTGAAGCATTCTAGCTGGCTACCTAACAAATAACCTAAGAAAATGTCAGGACCAGCGGGGGGGGTAGTGGTTATGTCGCTGGACTCCCACATGGCTAACTGCGGCTCAAGTCCCAGACCTGGAGGCTTTAAACTCTTGCCCTGTGCATTGTGCATGCATGCCCCAAATTCCAAGAAAACAGAGAAGGAATTGCAGTGTGGTCATTCTTCCTGGGGGGTGATTTCTTACTTTCTGTCTGTCTATGACAAGTGCATGTGCCCAATAGCAAAGATCTCTCTTAAGAAAAGGAAAAGTCACACTGCTTGGTTTGTAGCATTGTTTTACAAAGAAAAATGTCTGCTTGCAGCCAACATTTCCATCTTGTGGACATTTTAGGTAACTATTAAAAGTACAGTTGTATTTTCACTAGACCTTCAAGAGAAGGTCACTAATTGGAAATAGGACGGTACTATGGAAAAAACCTCAACTTTAAAGTCTGACAGATCTGAGTTCAATACACCCTTGGTCTTTTGTTAGCTGAAGGCTGAAATTTCTAAAATTTCTAAATTTCCCTTGATCTACATGATACAGTTAGAATTAGGCACTTCTCTGAGGATTCACAAGGATTCAGTAACTGTATGTAAAGTATTTAGCACATAAAAAATATGCAATAAGTATAATGAGTTCTTTCCTATTTTGCCCATTGCTGGTGACTTGCCCCCCTTTTTTTTTAAAAGAGAGATTTTTTGCTATGGGGTGTGTGCACTTGCCGGAGAGACAGAGACAGATAATCAGAAAGCAAGAAATCGCAGCCCAGGGGGATGGCCATGCTGATTACTACTCCTCCATTCTCCTCTCAGGATCTTGGGCATGCACGCACACATGCCCAGCGTTGAGTTTTAAGTCTCTGGGTTTGGGACTTGAATCATGGTCAACTACATAGGAGTACAGTGACATAACCATTCTGCCATCTGCTGGTCCCACTTTTTTTCTTTTAAACCTACCTAATTACTATCAAACTCAGTACTTTAGATTCCCAATATAAAGGGTTTCTTTCCTGGACACTCAAGAACATTAATTTAGAGGTAGAGAGACAATTATATTTGGAATTCACAAATATTTTTTACTTGAATAATGTTTATTGAACATCAATATAGTCCCAAATTTTCTGAGTACTTAAACTGTCCTTTCTCTCTCTTTTTGCCATAGGGTGTGTTTGCTCTCCAGAGACAAACAGATCAAGACAGTGAGAGGGAAAGTGAGAAATCACCCCCAAGAAAGACAACCAATCTGCAATCTCTTCTGATTTTGTGCATGCACACACATGTGCCCAGCGTGATTTTCAAGGCTGCCAGGTCCAGGACTCAAAGCATGGTCAGCTATGTGGGAGTCCAGTGCCTTAACTACCATGCCACCTGCTGGTCCCAAATTTCTCTTTTTATCTTGCTGTTTTGCTTTGTTGACTTTCTGCTTTCCTCTAGTAACATGTAGTTTGAATTTGTTTTTTGTAAAATATTTTATAGGTCACAAAATTGAGGGTCTCCTTTTTATTGGAGATGAAGATTCTTAGAGTATGAATAGAGTGTTGGGAAACTTTGTGGTTACACTGGGTTAAAAGATCAAAGACTATAAAGAACGTGTATAAAGAAGGTCCAGGAAGAGGTAGAGATAAATAAAAGGAAAATAAAAAATTGATTAAAATGATCCTATCCAGGAGCCAGCAGGTGGCATAGTGGTTGAGACTGGATCCCATGTAGCCAACTAGAGTTTGAGTACCTGAGAACGGAGAAGTGATTATGGTGTGGTCTTCCCCCCAGGGAGTGATTTCTTGCTTTCTGTCTGATGAGTGCACATGCCCTAGGGAAAAAAAATCTCTAAAAATAAATAAATAAAATTCTACTTGACAAAGCAAATCATATGAAAACTAACATATAGCTGAAAGAATAGAATTAGGTATAGGTACTTCTTCCAGCAAGACTATACAAGGCTTTTGTGTTGTCTTTTGAAGAGCCTATTAAAAACGAAATTGGAGGAAATTAGTATGCATTTATAGGCATTAAAGGGATAACAGGAACTAATCAAATTTAATAGAAGTTAATATGTCTGGCTTGGCTAGACAAAATCTAAATAAGGACTGGCTATAAACATTTAAAATTTCTTTTTTTTTTTTGGAGAGTTTTTTTGCTATAGGGCGCATGCGCTCGCCAGACAGACAGAGACAGAGAGACAGAAAGCGAGAAATCACCCCCCAGAGGGAATGGTCACGCCGCAATCCCTTCTCCTCCATTCTCCTCTCGGGATCTTGGGCACGCACGCACATGCGCCTGGCGTGAGTATTAAGTCACCGGGTCTGGGACGCGAACCGTGGTCGACTATGTGGGAGTCCAGCGACATAGCCATTACGCTAACTGCTGGTTCCCAAACATTTAAAATTTCAAGGAGAATAGAATCTGAGAGTTATGTATGTGAAATAAATTACTTCTCATTTTTTTCTAAATTTGAATTGTTTTTTCCTTTTTAAGAGATTTTTGCTATAGAGCGGGTGTGTGTGCTCACCAGAGAGACAGAGACAGAAAGAGAAAATACCATAGCCCTTTCTCCTCCACTCTCCTCTCAGGACTCTGGGCACGTGCACATGCACACATATGCCTGGTGTGAATTTTAAGCTGTCAGGTCTGGGACTCTAATTGTGGTCAACTGTGGGAGTCTAGCAATATAACCATTACGCCATCTGCTGGTCTCTAAATGTGAAATTTTAAGCTTATAATCAGCAAAGTTTTAAAAAGGTAATTATTTAATTTTATTTATTCATTCATTTATTTAAATTTGACCAGAGAGAGAGAAAGTGAGAAAGCAAGCTACCAGGTCTGGGACTCAAAACAGTGGTCGGCCATGTGGGAGTGCCCAGTGCCTTAACCACCACACCACCTACTGGTCCCAATTAGCAAATTTAACTGGGTTGGGGACTTCATGGTCAATTACGTGGGAATCAGTAAGCTAAGTTTCTTTGCCCCAACATCTGGCTGTTTATTCATTTTTCCCCCATCATGATATAAACAAGATATTACCCCCCCACCCCCCTCAGAAAAAACTTCACATTTTTTGGTCTGTTAAATGTTTCTTCCCTTTGCAGAGCCAGCAGATAGTGTAGTGGCTATGTTGCTGGACTCTCATATAGCCAAACACAATTTGAGTCCTGGGCTCAGTGGCTTGAAACTCATATTGGGCATGTATGCTTGAGTGCTCAAGATCCTGGGAGAAGGGATTGTGGTGTGGCCATTCCCTGGGGGAGATTTCTCACTTTCCCTCTCTCTGTCTCTGTCTCTCTCTCTCTCTGATGAGCACACATGCCCTGAGGAAAAAACCTTTTTCTTTAAGTTTTTTTTTTTTTCCTGCACCTCACACTCACATTTATCGCTCACCCTCTACCATTCATTCACCACTCTCCTCCTCCCTTATAGTCTCTGGTATCTACACTTATGGTCTCTACTACCGTATCTTTGGATCTTTCCATTTCTGCCATGGAGTGTAGACATTCAGTACATATTGAGTGGGGATACATAGTGCATTAGCTTTCAAAGTCTGGCTCAAGTCGCTCAACATCAAATCTTCTATAGTCACCCACTTTGAATGCAAATGATAGGGTCTCACTGTTTCTTATGGCTGAGTAACATTCCACAGTAAAAATGTGCCCTGGTTTTCAACTGAGTCATCAGTTTTTACACTTAGGTGATTCTATATTTTAGCAATTGTGAAAAATGCTGCAATAAACATGGAAGTGCACATCTTTCCAACCAAGTGTTTTCTTATTCTTTGTGTCAATTTCACCAAGAAGTGAAATTACTGGGTCATATGGTAGCTCTGACTAGACTTTTGAGAAACCTCCATATTGTTTTTCTCTTAGGTTGTAATAATTTACATTCTCACCACCAGTGTAAAAGGGTTCCCTTTTCACCATAGCCTCACCAGCACTTGTTCTTTCTTTTTTTTAATCCTAGCCATTCTAACTGGGATTGAATGGTATCTCATTGCAGTTTTAATCTGCATTTCCTGTATGACAAAAGACTGAACATTTTTTCATATGTCTTTTGGGCATTTGTAAGTCTTCCTTGGAGAGTTGGCT